AATTAAGTCTTGTGTTGATTCAACCTGCAGCTTTCATTTATTTCGACATCATCAATTACTGCTAGCTACATCATCATCCGCTGCTGCTAGCTACATCATCATTTACTACTGCTAGCTACATCATCATCTGCCGCTAGCTACATCATCATCTGCTGCTAGCTACATCATCATCTGCTGCTAGCTACATCATCATCTGCTGCTAGCTGCGTCATCATCTGCTGTTGGCTACATGTGTGTGTTTATGGGAGGGGGTGAGCTCATTTGACCATATTTTAACTGGTGATATGTTCAGGTGTTCAGAAGTACCCATTTATTTTTTCCAGATCACGTGGTTAAATTCACGTGACCTAACTAGGAACAAGAATTGAACACGTTCCCTAATTTATGATATGAATTTTTCATCAGATACTATACATATGGTTTTACTATACTTATGGTTTTACTATACTTATAGTTTTACTATACTTATGGTTTTACTATACTTATGGTTTTACTATACTTATGATTTTACTATACTTATGGTTTTACTATACTTATGGTTTTACTATACTTATGGTTTTACTATACTTATGGTTTTACGTTGTTGTTTTTTTAAACTTATAGCAGTATGAGAGGTCAATCTATAACGAAAGTCAATTTCATTAGAGGTCAATCTACAGTGAAGGTCAATGTCGTTGGAGGTCAATGTCGCTAGAGGTTAATGTTGTTTAGAAGTCAATCTATAATGAAGGTCGATGGAGGTCAATCTATAATGAAGGTTGATGGAGGTCAATCTATAATGACGATCGATGGAGGTCAATCTATAATGAAGGTCGATGGAGGTCAATCTATAATGAAGGTCGATGGAGATCGATCTATAATGAAGGTCGATGGAGGTCAATCTATACTGAAGGTCGATGGAGGTCAATCTATAATGAAGGTCGATGGAGGTCAATCTATAATGAAGGTCGATGGAGGTCAATCTATAAAGAAGGTGGATGGAGGTCGATCTATAATGTAAGTCAATTAAGGTTTGATGTAGATCAATACACACCATTGAATTGTTGTGGTGCTATTACCAGAGACTGTGTTATTTACACAGCTTAATTAAAGCGACTACTTTATCTAATTATATTTTAGTTGAAAAGCCAGATAAGTTTAAGTATTTCTGATCTACATATTTAAAAAAAAATCTTTCTGATCTACACCTGAAATATTATTTTAAAATCTTGCCGAGCCACATCTAAAAAAGTATTTTCATTTTGAAAATATTTTTTTAAATCTCTTAGATTAATGTCTTCACGAACTAAGCTACATTATTTTTTTTAATTACACGTTTTCGCTTAAATAGGCTTGAAAAGCAGGTTCCAAATGGTTCAACATTTATGTTGCCAGAAAGCATATTTTTCAACCAAAAGAAATAATAAATTGTTTTACAATACTTGTTCAACAATTTCAAAATATATTCCGGTTTTACTAAGTCTAGAAATAATCAAACAAATAATTACTAGTAGTATGATAGTCATTTAGCCAACACTTTTATTTCAGGGTCAGTCAGGGTATTGTGATGATAGGGGATGTTATATTATTTAAGATAAATAATATAAATAAACTACCAGACTATACCCATATTGTGTATTTTACCATGGAAAACAATTGTTTTACTCTCCCTGGCATTTCCTGTTGACTTCAAAGAGAAGTTGATAGCGATTTTTGAAAATATTTAAATTGATAAAATAATTCTAAACGGCTATTCAGCGGCTTATATTAAATAAAAAATGTGAAAATGAGTGTAATCGATGGTTCCTAAACAGCTTTAAGATTTTAAAATGTAACTTTAATTTTGTAGTTGCTATATTTTTAAAAAAGCAACATTTTTTTCAAAAACTTAGTACGACTACCTAGATTTTTCAAGCCGATTTTTTATTTTTACTTTCTCGTATACCGAGTAGAGAGAAAGTATTGTAATTGTGCACAAAAGTCACATGAGATTTTGACAGTTTTCAACGTTTTACACCTCAGTCCTACACATCCGGAGTATAGAGGACTTATTTTAATTGGGCAAAAATTATAAATCCAGATTTATTAAATTTTTTTACGTTTTATGCATAATCGAGTCTGAAAAACTTAGCTTTGCATTACCGTCCGTGTGTGTGTGTGTGTGTGTGTGTTCGTCTTTGAACACGATAACTAGAGTACCGTTACAGCTAGGTTGATGAAATTTCATATATGAGTATTATGTCAAATTTGTAGTTACGTATCAACTTTTTTAGCGATTTCCAATAGCCAGAAGTGTAACTTATTCTACTTTCAATTTTTCAAAAGCATATAACTTGAGTACTATTTCAGATAGAAAAATGAAATTTCACATGTTGGTAAAAGATCTAATTCTCCACCTTCTTTCAAATTTTGAGTAATTTCCGTTGACCAAAAGTAGTAATTTACGTTATTTCTGATTTCTCAAAAAACGCTTGTGAATATATAAAGTACTAATAATATTCCGCACTATTATAAACATTTTGTTTGGCGTTTACTTGATGCGCAATTTTTTTTTCTACGAGATTCTATTCTATTTTAAAAAGGTTAAGTACTTAAAATGGATTTAAAAATCATGTCTATATCCCCGAGTTATTTGTTGGTTGTGGTTGTAAAAGCTTCTTTACTTTTTATTTAGTTGTGGCTTTAATTAAGTTGGAATGGTAATTGTATTTATATTTTTGTTCAAATTGTCATTGAAAACGTTAATGTATTTTGTTCCCGGTGTATTTGTCTTCAGAGCTTAGTTGCTGAAGTGGTATGTTTAAGTTGCTGATGTTGCATGTTTAAGTTGCTGATGTTGGATGTTTAAGTTGCTGGTGTTGTATGTTTAAGTTGATGATGTTGTATGTTTATGTTGCTGGTGTTGTATGTTTAAGTTGCTGATGTTGGATGTTTAAGTTGCTGGTGTTGTATGTTTAAGTTGATGATGTTGTATGTTGCTGATGTTGTATGTTTATGTTGCTGGTGTTGTATGTTTAAGTTGCTGGTGTTGTATGTTTAAGTTGCTGATGTTGTATGTTTAAGTTGATGATGTTGTATGTTTAAGTTGATGATGTTGTATGTTTAAGTTGATGATGTTGTATGTTTAAGTTGATGATGTTGTATGTTTAAGTTGATGATGTTGTATGTTGCTGATCTTGTATGTTTAAGTTGCTGGTGTTGTATGTGTAAGTTGATGATGTTGTATGTTTAAGTTGATGATGTTGTATGTTGCTGATGTTGCATGTTTAAGTTGCTGATGTTGTATGTTTCTTAAGTTGCTGATGTTGTATGTTTAAGTTGCTGGTGTTGTATGTTTAAGTTGCTGATGTTGTATGTTTAAGTTGCTGATGTTGTATGTTTAAGTTGCTGGTGTTGTATGTTTATGTTGCTGATGTTGTATGTTTAAGTTGCTGGTGTTGTGTGTTTAAGTTGCTGGTGTTGTATGTTTAAGTTGCTGATGTTGTATGTTTAAGTTGGTGATGTTGTATGTTTAAGTTGATGATGTTGTATGTTGCTGATGTTGTATGTTTATGTTGCTGATGTTGTATGTTTAAGTTGCTGATGTTGTATGTTTAAGTTGATGATGTTGTATGTTTATGTTGCTGATGTTGTATGTTTATGTTGCTGATGTTGTATGTTTAAGTTGCTGATGTTGTATGTTTAAGTTGCTGGTGTTGTATGTGTAAGTTGATGATGTTGTATGTTTATGTTGCTGGTGTTGTATGTTTAAGTTGCTGATGTTGGATGTTTAAGTTGCTGGTGTTGTATGTTTAAGTTGCTGGTGTTGTATGTTTAAGTTGATGTTGTTGTATGTTTATGTTGCTGATGTTGTATGTTTAAGTTGCTGGTGTTGCATGTTTCTTGAACTTTCTTTTATTCACGATACAAAGGGCGCGTTATGCCGCTGATTACATTTGTGTGTAATGGTACCAAGTTTATCTACATACATTTGAAGTGAAGCACTCTGGGACATATGAACAAATTTGAGAACCAGTTGCTGGGGACATGTGAACAAACTTGAGAAGCCCTTGTGTTGATAGAAATGAGTTTATTTTCTGAGCAAACAAATTTTTAGCTAACAACTGTGGAGGACTGGACAACAGCAAGCTATTTCTTTCAGATCTGACTCGAGTGGACGTGTGGGTGTGTGGGTGTGTGGATGTGTGGGTGTGTGGACGTGTGGTGTGTGGTGTGTGGACGTGTGGTGTGTGGTGTGTGGACGTGTGGTGTGTGGACGTGTGGGTGTGTGGACGTGTGGGTGTGTGGACGTGTGGACGTGTATGTGTGTGGGCGTGTGGGTGTGTGGACGTGTGTGTGGGCGTGTGGTGTGTGGGTGTGTGGTGTGTGGGTGTGTGGACGTGTGGGTGTGTGGGCGTGTGGACGTGTGGGTGTGTGGACGTGTGGTTGTATGGGTGTGTGGACGTGTGGGTGTGTGGGTGTGTGGACGTGTGGACGTGTGGGTGTGTAGACGTGTGGGTGTGTGGACGTGTGGGTGTGTGGGTGTGTGGACGTGTGGACGTGTGGGTGTGTAGACGTGTGGGTGTGTGGACGTGTGGGTGTGTGGGTGTGTGGACGTGTGGACGTGTGGGTGTGTGTGTGTGGGCGTGTGGGTGTGTGGACGTATGGACGTATGGACGTATGTCACCACAGATATCCGTCCTTGGTGCATGTGTTGCCATTAATATATTCTTTTTAAAAAAGGCATCGAATGTTAATTAAAACATTTCAAACAGGTCATACTAGTTGTCGAAAACCAATTTTTTTAAATTTGATGAACTGACCGAGCTACAGCCGTACAGTTGTTCACATTGTCCTAATCTAGAAGTGCATTGCTTGAAACAAAACTGGTTACATTACATAACGATTACAGGTGAACTGCTTTAATTACATAACGATTACAGCTGAACTGGTTTAATTACAGAATGGTGGTTACAGCTGAAAAAATAGTTTCTATCACACGAGCTGCGTACAGACACTCCAGACCTGTGAAACACAAAATGTAAATTGATATTTTGTTCCGTTTTATTTTTTGTGTATTTCTTTTACTTTTTGAAAGACGCGAAACGAGAAATTGATGCCTAAATAAAAAAACAAAACTCTGGAATGAAAGAAATCTGTTTCAGTCTTGTTTCCTTGTCCTGGACACTGAGCATTTGTATGACGTTGCTTCAGTTGATGACGTCACAAGCGTATCCCCTCACGTGGACTTGGACTCAGCCTGCACGAGAGATAAAATATGGGATGGGTTAAACTCAGGTGAGCACAGGTTAAACTCAGGTGAGCAAAGGTTAACTAATGGTTATTTTACAGGTCGGGATGGTAAGAAAAAATATGGGATGGATTAAACTCAGGTGAGCACAGGTTAACTGAAGCTTATTTTACAGGTTGCGATGGTAAGAGTCGAGGGTTAGAGCGTTAGCTGTAACTAAAATCGTGAGTTCGGGTACCAGTCAGCGCTCTCTAGACGGATCTATTTCAAGCCGGCTAGCCGTGATAGGGAACTTAAAGCCGGCTAGCCGTGATAGGGAACTTAAAGCCGGCTAGCCGTGATAGGGAACTTAAAGCCGGCTAGCCGTGATAGGGAACTTAAAGCCGGCTAGCCGTGATGGGGGTCTTAAAGCCGGCTAGCCGTGATAGGGAACTTAAAGCCGGCTAGCCGTGATGGGGGTCTTAAAGCCGGCTAGCCGTGATGGGGGTCTTAAAGCCGGCTAGCCGTGATAGGGAACTTAAAGCCGGCTAGCCGTGATAGGGAACTTAAAGCCGGCTAGCCGTGATGGGGGTCTTAAAGCCGGCTAGCCGTGATAGGGAACTTAAAGCCGGCTAGCCGTGATGGGGGTCTTAAAGCCGGCTAGCCGTGACTTGTTGTCCGATTGTATGACTGTCGAGTTGTCCTGTTGTCCGATTGTTGACTGTCCAGTTGTATTGCGTCCAGTCTAGTAACTCTGTTTGACCCATTTAAAACGGAGAATCAACTTTCGGATGTTTCACACTCTCGACTGGTAGGATTTTACCCGAATGTCATTTGTCGCTTTGGCCCTGAATGGGACCATTGCAACAATTTCCAAAAAATATGAAATATTGTATTGTAGCTTATGGAAGTAAAATGGATTTGTTATTTTCTTAATTAAAATAAGTCTAACCCTAACCCTAACCCCTCAAAAAAAAAAGACTGTACTACAATTTTTGAAGATTTAGCTTTATTTAATTTGAGAAACTGCTTTAATATTATTTTATTAAGTTCTGTAACATTTATTAATACACATGTTTAACATTAAAATAATCGTACATTAACCCCATGTATCAATGTGATTATGTGACATTTAGGCCAGTGTTGTAGTTGTAGGTGGTGGTGTCACATGAACTGGCTACTTCTGGTTCGTGATTTAGCACCTAGTTTGTTCTACATGTTGGGCTAGTTACATCCTTTCTTCTAGGTGGGTTCGGGGGGGGGGGGGGGGGTCTTTAACAGCGAGAACAGGCGATTTCGTTTGTTTATGATTGAGAAGGCTGGCTTTCTGTGTGAATTGTTTCAGTCTATGTTATGATGAGATTATGTTAAGCCAATGGTGTATGGTCATCATATTAAGCCCGTATGGGGTGATAGTGTTAAACCAATATTGGGTGGTGATCGTGTTAAACCTGTGGTTTGTGGTGATCATTGTAAATGTTTGGTTGTGATCATTGTCAGTGTTTGGTTGTGATCATTATCAATGTTCGGTGGTGATCATTGTCAATGTTCGGTGGTGATCATTATCAATGTTCGGTGGTGATCATTGTCAATGTTCGGTGGTGATCATTATCAATGTTCGGTGGTGATCATTGTCAATGTTCGGTGGTGATCATTGTCAGTGTTTGGTTGTGATCATTATCAATGTTCGGTGGTGATCATTGTCAATGTTCGGTGGTGATCATTATCAATGTTCGGTGGTGATCATTGTCAATGTTCGGTGGTGATCATTGTCAGTGTTTGGTTGTGATCATTGTCAGTGTTTGGTTGTGATCATTATCAATGTTCGGTGGTGATCATTGTCGATGTTTAGCGGTGATCATTTCACAAAATGTAAAGCGTGGTTTTGTTGAGAAATGACTGCTTGTTTTAATTGATTTCCAATCAGTGCACATTGTCTAGGCGTTACGTATATTTAAGCAGGCCCTTAATGATGTTCTTTAATTTTATCCAAAATTTAGATTCTTTTTATAGACTTAAATAGTAAGGAAAACTATAAAAGTAAATTATTCGCAAATTTCGATACTTAATATATTCTTGGGCCACTTTCTATTCTAGCAAACGGCCTTCGGGCAATAGGCTTGCAAAGTATATGTAATTATTCTAAATTTTTAAAAAAATAATGTAAAAAAAAATATGGCTAGCGATAAAATTATAGGTACTTATTAAAAAAATTAAAGCTGTTTGGGAACCATTGATTACACCATTTTTTTATTTGTGTATTTAATATAAGCCGTTGAAAAGCTGTTTGAATTATTTTATTAATTCAAATGTTTAAAAAAAACGCCCCCCCCCCCCCCCGCTTGAAGTCAACCGGAGCGGCCAGGGAAAGTAAAAAAGTGAAAGTCAAAACAATTCTTTTCCATGATAAAATACACAATAGCTGTCAATGGGGTATAGCCTAGTAGTTTATTAATTTTAAATTAACTATTAATAGGAAATTTAACATTTTATATGAAAAATAAAGCACCGTTCTTTCATTAAAGCTCATTAATTAAAGCTCATTAATTAAAATTTCTTACAGTTCTCTAGGTAATGTCTTACAATTAGTGATCGCTAATTAGTTTTCGATTTTTCCTAGAATAAAAAAAAAATCACGCACGATATTTGCGCGGCGTCTGACGATTTAAATTATTGTAGGTAATCAGAGGTACAATCCAATGATATACTTTCCGTTTCTTAAAAAAAAAATATGTTAGCTAAATATCAAAATATTTATATAGGTTGATGCTGGGAATTAAAATAGTTTCTTTAAGAAATGTGTTTACATTTAGCTAAATAGCAAAGTATTTGTATAGGTTGATGCTAGGAATTAAAATGAGCTCAACATGTGTGACCACGTGACCAGGATTAGCATATGTACAGGTAGTAGATGTGGTGTGGGTGGGAGATTGTGATGTGTTTGGGGGAGGGATAAGATGTGTGTGGGTGTGGGGCTGTGATGTGAGTGCGGGAGTGTGGTTGTGATGTGTGTGGGTGTGTGAGGAGGGCTGTGATGTATGTGTGTGTGGTAGTAGAGCTATGACGTGTGTGGGTGTGTGTGGGGTATGTAGTGAGAGTGTGTGAACTTGTCGAATATTTCTCCACTAAAAATATCCGTACATTACAAGCGGCCATTATCCCTCACCCAGCGACTCCTGCATCACGTACCACACACACCCTCACATACCACACACACCCTCACATACCACACACACCCTCACATGCCACACACACCCTCACATACCACACACACCCTCACATACCACACACATCCTCACATACCACACACAGGACACAGCAACTGTTGTACTCACCATGTCAGTCTTGGTCTCGTCTGCCGATCTTTTGTCCATGTCCCTCATTGCGTCATCCTGTTTCACAAACTCTACTTCACCATCCTCCATATCCGGTATCCTTTTGCCGATTCCACCTGCAAATCCGAAGCGGTCTAATCGCTTACCGATTCCTCCATAAAATCCGTACCGATCTAGTCCACGTTTGCCGATTCCTCCAGCGAAACCGTATCGGTCCATTCTTCTTTTGCCGATTCCTCCTGTAAAGCCGAAGGGATCGATTCGCCTTTTGCCGATTCCTCCAGCGAAGCCGAACCTGTCGATTCCTCTCTTTCCGATACCGCCGTAGAAAGCGTATCGGTCGAGTCCTCTCTTGCCGATACCTCCAGCGAATCCGTATCTGTCGAATCCCCTCTTACCGATACCGCCATAGAAGCCGTACGGGTCGATTGCGCGTTTCCCGATTCCCCCAGAAAAACCTATTCTGTCTAACTGCCGTTTCCCGATACCGCCAACGAATCCGTATCGGTCTATTCCTCTTTTACCGATTCCTCCAGAAAAACCATACCGGTCCATCTTTCGTTTCTCAAGGTCATCCTCGAGATCGTCAGGGTCAAGCAAGGACTCCAGGTCCTGCCCGTCTTCGATGGACAACTCGGTGTCAAGGTCACCTAGTTGGTTGGGTTCTCGTACATCGTCGTCGGCAAGCGCTGAGGTCAAGGCGAGGGCGAGCAAACACAACAGGAAGTGACGTAATAATCCTCTCTTAAACATGGCGGCTGAGCTGGACCTGCAGACGAGAGTACAAGACAGTTGTCAACAAAGTACAAGGTCAGTCAATTGGTCAGTATGTTGTATGTATTAGCTATTATTAGCAGTATGTCATGATCTTTGTTTCATCTGAGGGCAATATGTTAGCAAGTTGTATGTAAAATAGCCTACATGAGTAGTATGTCATGATGTTTGTTTCATCTGAGATCAATATTTAGTATGCTGTATGTAATAGCCTACATTAGTTGTATGTCATGATGTTTGTTTTACCATATGACAGGGTTGAGTAGGCGATAAAAATTGTATCAACAGGTGTATGTGCAGTCAGTTACTTATATATAAGATACGTACAAGCATATTATACATACATATACATATATATATATATATATATATATATATATATATATATATATATATATATATATATATATATATATATATATATATATATATATATATATATATATATATGTTACGGTCAAAGCCCGAAGTGCGGCCAAACCCCGGATTGGCCGGCCAATGCGCGGATTGGCCGGCTCTCTTGGCCAAAGCCCGAAGAACTTAAAACTAAGATCGTATTTCGTACATTGGCCGGCCAATGCGCGCACTGGCCGGGACGTACTGGCCAAAGTCCGAAGTGCTTAAACTTGACAGCGTATTTTGTACATTGGCCGGCCAATGCGCGCATTGGCCGGGATGTCCTGGCCAATGTTCTATCTAGACTAAATTGTGATCGCGTTTTCATTATTCTGGTTGCGGTTTCATTGTAACGTATTGTTTAGCTCTTGTTTGTACAGCTCATTCTTGTGGATCCTGTGGCAAAGATGTCCATGCTATTTGTGGAGTACCCAATGAAGCAGACGAAGGGTACGGAGGGAACATTACCTGCAAATTGTGTCACAACAAACAAGACATCATGAAACACAGGTCAGCAGCTCATGCTGGCTTGCAAAATCAAGGTGCTAAGATGCTTAAAACATCAAATACAAAATTTAAAGATGGTGAAGTGGGTGACAATGTACGCATCCGTGTTCAAGATGTTGACAAGAGGTCGCGGTGATCTCCGAAGCGTGATTGCAGTTGTCATGAGCGTCGAGGGCGGTTTCTACAAATTAGGAACGGATCATGGTGTTCTAAAACAACTATTTGGTAGAAGTGAGTTTTCAATTCTTCACGAAAAACTGCTCAGTTGGCACTGAGGAAAAATCACTACGAACCATCGCATCTTCACAATCATTGACTGCTGGCCAAGGCTACACTCGCTGCAATTGCACAACTAAGTGCACAACAAATCGCTGCAAGTGTAAAAATAACAAGCTGCTATGTAATTCTAAATGCCATAAAAGTTCAACTTGTTGTAACAAGTGATGATATTGATAGATTGAGACTATAGTACAATAAAATACTTGAATGTTTCTGTCATTTACTTTAATTAATAACCAATAAAGACTTAATTTCATGATCCTTACGGCATTAAAAAAAAATCTGCTCATGATCTTCTAATTCGGACTTTGGCCGGTCGTCCCTAGCCAGATGATCTTCTAATTAAGACTTTGGCCGCGGACTGGTCGGCCAAAGGCCGAAATCAAGAGCTATTTCAGACTTTGGCCATTCCACCATGGCCAGTCTGCGGATTGGCCGGCCAAAGGCCGAAATCAAGCAAAGTTTCGGACTTTGACCGACCTATGAGAGGCGGTATTGGCCAATGCGCGGATTGGCCGGCCAATCCTAGCATTGGCCGACTTCGGGCTTTGACCGTAACATATATATATATATGTTACGGTCAAAGCCCGAAGTGCGGCCAAAGCGCGGATTGGCCGGCCAATCCGCGCATTGGCCGGCTCTCTTGGCCAAAGCCCGAAGAACTTAGCACTAAGATCGTATTTCGTACATTGGCCGGCCAATGCGCGCACTGGCCGGGACGTACTGGCCAAAGTCCGAAGCACTTAAACTTGACAGCGTATTTTGTACATTGGCCGGCCAATGCGCGCACTGGCCGGGATCTCCTGGCCAATGTTCTATCTAGACTAAGTCGTGATCGCATTTTCATTATTCTGGGTGCGTTTTCATTGAGAGTAACGTATTGTTTAGCTCTTGTTTGTTTACCATTCTATATGCAAGGCGACATGGATCAAAAGGGCCGTCAGACCATGAGACAGACATAGCAGATGGCTGTCAAAAGAAAAAAATGTAAATCCATGTTAGTTTCCATATATGGGCTCTCGATAAAATAGTTACTGAGGAAGATCTTGAGAACATTGAACAAGAAATGGAGGTTGCCATAAATGCAACGACATCCTCAGCTAGCACATCTACTGCCGTGGCGGAACGCCCAGACCAGTTGCGTGACAATAATGTGGCCAACATATTCTATATAGTTTGTGAAAAATATTGTAGTGCAGCTCATTCTTTTGGATCCTGTGGCTACGATGTCCATGCTATTTGTGGAATACCCAATGAAGCAGACGAAGGGTACGGAGGGAACATTACCTGCAGATTGTGTCACAACAAACAAGACATCATGGAACACAGGTCAGCAGCTCATACTGGCTTGCACACTCAAGGTGTTAAGATGCTTAACACCTTAAATACAAAATATTTAAAGATGGTGAAGTGGGTGACAATGTACGCATCCGTTTTCCAGATGTTAACGGAGGTCACGGTGATCCCCGAAGCGTGATTGCAGTCAGTGTTTCTTCCAGACTTTTTTCTCCGGGGGGGGGGGGGGGGGGGCACTTGAAATTTTTTTTTTGGGGGGGGGGGGGCGGTAGACTTTCTTCGGTGGGGGGGACACTGTTAAAAGTATATATTTTCTATATAAATTATATAAATTTCATTTCGTTCGGTGGGCGGTAAAAGAGATGCCTGGAAGAAACTCTGATTGCAGTTGTCATGAGCGTCTAGGGCGATTTCTACAAATTAGGAACGGAACATGGTGTTCTAAAACAACTGTATGCTAGAAGTGAGTTTTCAATTCTTCACGAAAAACTGCTCTTATTGTCGTCAGTTGGCACTGAGGAAAAATCACTACGAACCATCGCATCTTCACAATCATTGACTGGGGGCCAAGGCTACACTAGCTGCAATGGCACACCTAAGTGCACAACAAATCGCTGCAAGTGTAAAAATAACAATTCTAAATAAAAATTCTAAATGCAATAAAAGTTCAACTTGTTGTAACAAATGATCATATTAATAGATTGAGACTATAGTACAATAAAAAATTTGAATGTTTTTGTCATTTACTTTAATTAATAATCAATAAAGACTTAATTTCATGATCCTTACGGCATAAAAAAAAAAATCTGCTCAAGATCTTCTAATTAAGACTTTGGCCGGTCCACCATGGCCAGTCCGCGGACTGGCCGGCCAAAGGCCGAAATCAAGAGCTATTTCAGACTTTGGCCGCTCCACCATGGCCAGTCTGCGGATTGGCCGGCCAAAGGCCGAAATCAAGCAAAGTTTCGGACTTTGACCGACCTATGGGAGGCGACATTGGCCAATGCGCGGATTGGCCGGCCAATCCTAGCTTTGGCCGACTTCGGGCTTTGACCGTAACATATATATAATCAGACAAAGCCAATAATAGCAAGTACTATCAAAGTTTATGATGCATCTAAGAAATGAAGAACCAAGTTTATTTCGTTGTGTTTTGAATATAAATGTCTGTGGTATTATTAATGCACTTTTAACCTAACCGTATCAATGACAACGTTAGAAAATACATTTGACATTTATTACTAGTATATCCTTTTCACCGTCGACTCTACATTGAAAGTCAGTCACGTGAGATCTGCAGATTAGACTATCTGATACTTACGTAGGTTAGAACTATAACATAACACATATGATCAGTCGCGGAGACGTAGGTTAGAACTATAACATAACACATACGAGTGACACAGAACGACTGCCACGATGAAGAACGTATGGGACATCCAGCATACGACAGAACCTGTCATGTCAGACACATTTTCAGCCAAACTTGTCGCAAGCTGAGTACACGTCTAGCGTGAAGTCGGCGCTTGTCGTGAGCAGAACTGACATCACGGCTACCCTTGTGCTCACGGGATCAATGTGACGGCGCGCACGCTTCGATCTCCGAACGGTAATTATAACCTCTTACCTGCGTGGCCCCGGTGTTTGTGTGAAGCTGAGCCAACTAACGACGGCCCCATGTTTGTTTAGCCCAGCCACTGGCCCACTCGGGTACTAATTAAACAGTCAATAGATCTTTTATCACTGGAGGTACTGAACTTCTAGCTCAAGTGAACTTTGGTTTTCGCAACCAGTGCTCTAGGTATGGCGGATCAATGGGGGATAAAGAGATGTTTGATCTGATAAAATCTTTCTCGAAAGTCTGGCACATAAAGGGTTAAAAATAGAAATTTGACAATAGTATTTGAACACTGCAACATTAAGGTTTGAAGTAAAGCTAGGAGAACGTATGTTTTAAGGTTTGAAGTAAATCTAGGAGAACGTATGTTTGATGATGCTAAAGTCCCGAGTCGGCCCCAACATATGGGGGCTCGTTAGGTGGTAGAGAAATATGAGGGCTGGAGTCGGGGTCAACAGGACACGTGACGTATGACATGGTGACAGGACACGTGACGTATGACATGGTGACAGGACACGTGACGTATGACATGGTGACAGGACACGTGATGTATGACATGGTGACACCAAACACTTCATAGTGGTGGAGGAAATACCTTCCAATGTGACAATTACGAAATAAGACGATGATGTCAAAATGAAATAGTTGTTGCTGTAAGTGAAATAATTGTATGAACGCATCCAAAAAATCAGCGGTAGACTGGGCTGTTGGGACACTGGAACAAATCCAAGTGGGCCGCCGGGAAAAAATAATTTAGGTGGGCCGCCGAGATCGCTGTAATTGTTTTGATGTTTAATTAAATTGTGTTTTTTTTTTTAAAATTAGCCATTTTTTATTTGTCGTTTTGTTATTATGTTTAATATATTATATTACATATTGTAAAGTGACCCGTGACTTTG